ATCACTATAACCCTCAACAACTGTTCACAATCCAGAAGTGTTGCATTGGAGATTGCAGCTGTACAGTCTTGTGCTGTCTGCAGAGGAAGACTACTGTGTGCGTGGGCACAGCCAGCACGGTGGTGCAGGTTTGGGAGGTGTTTATTCTCGCTTCTCTTCCTTCTGCACAGCACCCAGTTCTGTTTCGCTGGGGACCAGGACCTTGTCTTGAAGCACAGCGTGCCTGACAGATAGCTGGGAGCCAAGGTGGGTGTTTGGGCTGGTGATGCAGTGGGGGAGAGGATGGGACATAGAGCTTTCATCTTCCTGTAGATACGATATTTTTTGATGAGATACGGATTGTACCTTTAGTTTGCTAGCATCCTCTGATAGCAATAGATTCTTTCCTTTGTAGTGGGCCAAAAGCAGCTAGCCAGAAGAGTGTGAGTTTCAATTGGTAGTGAATACATTCAAGAGCTCAGTATGACAGATTAATATAAGAATTTATCTTTCTATGTCCATTTCTGATCTCTGGCAGGTGACTTAGTGTTGTGTACCAGTAATGTCAGCAAGTACTGTAAGAACTACTGCTGTCTGCTCTCATTTCACATCTTGAGAAGGTTTAATTCTGCTTTCTAACCTGAAGCCCAGGGAAAATATTCTTTAAGGCCAGTTTGGGAAGGCCCTTTTCTTCAGTGAACTGAGATTTTTAAAATGGACGGTGAGGTATCGGTCTGTTTTTCATACTACTTTGAGGTCACAGCTTTGGCTCTATGCATGTGTTTGTGTCCCTCCAACTCGAGGACATCAGTTGGTTTTAGAGTCAAAGCAGCAATCTAGAAATGGAAGCCTCATATCCTAGCAGTTAGTATCATGGCCATTTCTTCACGCTACTCCCCTGCCCCATCCCTCCCAAATCAAATAAACCTGGTTTTGCAGAAAATGGACTTCAATCTTGCACAGTAACTTTGTTTTCTAGAGCGCTGAATGAGACAGCTACTTAAATGCAGACATCTGATTGTAGATAGCTCTTTAAGCCAGCAGGCTGGCATGCTGCAGCAGCAGCTGAAGCTAGCTAGTTGCAGATCAGATATGGGAAACAGATAACAAGAGTAACTAACCAGGTGAACACCAGCTGTAGTGGATCCTCCAGTGCTGAGGTTTTTAAATCTAAAGCAGATTATCTTTTCAGGAGGACTGCAGTAGTGCCACTTTAAGTCTTTGAAAGGTTCCTGTAATACTATGGCTTGTAATATGTGATCCTCCTGACCGGCTACACACAACGGTTATTTTTAGTCTTTGATTATGAAAGTCCTGCACACGCTCTGCTAACAAGAACTGTCCCTAATCAGACATCGTATCTTCCTGCTGTGTATTGCATGCTCAACTTTAAAATAGGCATGGGTCTGACTTGTGCTAAAAAACCTTGTGCAGAAATTCTGCAAAGCTGATGCTGCTTATTAAGGCACAATAAACAGATAAAAGAAAACTGTCCTAGTGTAAAAAATCTCATTCTTCAAACCTGGAGCACAGTCCGCAGATCCTGCTAGCTCAGTGCGTGAAATTTTGAGCTCAAGGATAACACCAGACTTTTGTTGTTGATTGTAGGAGGTCATACAGCTGCTCTGGCCAACTTGGAGAGACTGGAGGACATATATCGCATAGAAGTGCTAAAGCGAGTGCACCCCCCTAAAGATTTAACTGGAGTTTGATATATCACTTTGTAAGTAAATCCCTGAAGAGCAAGAAACCAATTGCACTCTTAAAAGCCTGTATTATAAAACAGAAGGAGTGAGAGAACTGTACCTGCAGAGGTTAATCTTCAGCACAGGAATTTAAATGAACTCATTAAAATCAACTTACAGATTAGCTCATTAAAATGCAGTGCTGCAGATCCAGTAGTTGGTTGATCTGGCATGCCACTTCTGTGAAGAAATGACTTAAGAAACGGAGAACAAATTGATAGTATTAAAACTCCCTTTTTCTTTCCAGTCCCATAAACTCTCATCTGGAACTCCCTCTTCCTTGAACTCTGTATCAACAGCACTTTTTGTTTAGTGAATTAAGCTTGTTTGATCCTGTGCTACAAGTGCTGTGTAGTATCACTAGCCTCTTGTAATGAAATGTATGTCTGTACACACTTGTGCCCTCCCGCATGCATAGGAACTCCGTAATTGAGGCCTTGGCACCATGAGTCACAGCAATGGTCTTTTTCACTTATTACCTTGATAACGAGACTCTACCAGCTGCTGGCTGTAGTGGGTTTTATTTCCTAGTGGTTAAATTCTAGATAATCACACTACTTTACTACTGCCATTAAAGTAATGGTATTGTTTATGGGGAGGAGGGAAAAAAGACTGAAACGAGTTCTGATATAATTATATAGACCTGTTCAGAATATCTTTTATATAACAACAGGTACCAGTGATTAAAACTGGCCTTACTCTTACAGCTTTTCGGTTGGTTCTTACATATCCTAGAGGCACACAGTAGGCAATACAGAAAATAAAAATATAAGGAATTTACATTCCGGCTATATATTCTGCAATAATATATATATGTGTGTGTGTACCTATATACAGAGAGAGAGAGAGAGAGAGAAACTCCAAGTACAAAACCAGTTAATTGTAAATTTTAAGCTAACCTCACTAAACCCCCTATCCACATCAAAAAATTCGTAGGGAAAAGATAATTGAAAAATTCCTCAAACTACTTTTCAGCGTTCCAGAACCAGAAGAAATTATTCAAACTGTTGTGTCAGTGGTTTTAAGGACCATACGCCTACAGAGGGCTCCGTTTGAAATGCTGTTCTGCATTTATAGGAATTGGTTTCAGTCTTTAAAAGGGACGGTGACTGGCTGGACAGTATGTTGGCACAGACATTACCTGGAGACACTTGACCAGCCTTTTTTTAGATGTGGTGGAGCTGTGGTAGCTGCAGGGATTTTGAGCTGGCTCGTCTGTCCATCTGGGCTTGTGACCATCTGAAAAGCACTGTGCTGACTCACTAACGGAGTCAGCTCCTCAGGTAGGTCCGGGTGCCTGACTCTGCTTCTGCTCATGAAAACTGTCCCTTTGCCATCTATGGGAAAGGGTACATGGGCGTGAAAGTCATGTAAACAAAGCAAAGGTGCAAACCTTACTTCTGCTGGGCAGAAAAGCGAGTCTTTAACCTTGCAGAGACTCACAATAAAACCACACCTTTCCCCTTGAAGACAAAGCCTGCAAGCCGGTGTAATGTTCTTTCCCTGCCTTCCAATCCTTTTTTTTTTTGCCACCAGGCAGTAGTCTTGCCTGACCTAAAGATGTGAAAAGAAGCTTAGGTGGGAAAAAGAGGCATTGGAATACACTATTGTAACCAGAAAATGTGTAAACTGGTGCTTTTACGTTTACTTTGCTTGATGACGAAATGGAAGAGAAGACTAAAAGAACAAGCTTGCTGAATCCAATTTTCCCTCAAGGATGAGTTAAACTGGAGTGGGTGGAATTATACTCAGGTGACACTGTCTCAAATCCATGCGGAAAGTTAACCTGCCATTCAACCACAAATAAATAGTGCTGGGTAATCAATCTGCTTGGTGAGTGATTTGATCAGGTGCTGATCTGGGCTAGGTTGTGAAGGTGGATGGAGAAACCTGAATAACCGCAGCTTTCTGAAAAGGACAGTGGGAAAGAATGGTACCTTCCCCGTGTTGCCAAAAAAAACACAAAACAAAAAAATCAGCTGATTATGAAATCTAGGCATTTCCCTCATGCCGATTTCTTTCTATTCAGTGAAAAGAAGTGGCATTTGGAGACTTTACTGTAAGCCTTAGGCAAGAACTGAAATCCCTCAATATCATCACTGGCACCGTGAGCAATATTTGGATAATGTTACTCACTGTAGTTATTTGAGGCTAAACAGTGAATTCTTAAGATTCTCTCTCTGTGTAGAAATCATCCAGGTTACAGAAGCAATGTTGGCTTGTAGAAGGGCTTATGTGCCCCAAAGTTGATAATTTCCCGCCTATTTATATTAACTGGTCTAGTAACAAGTACTTTCTTGTTCCACAAACCGCACCTCATTTGATGCTGACAGCTGTTGTTTTTCAAAGCAATACTGAACACTGAGTGGTGTCTTTTACTTAACTGTAGGAAAATGAGGCTAGTCTAGCCATGTCCTTGTGTCTGACCTTACTGAGGTGGTCTTCTTGTGTCATCCCGATTGCTTGCTTTTAAATGAGCTTTTGTGAATGACTGTCCATTCTCTGGTGATTTGGATGTCCAAAACCTAAAGAATTATTCTGATAAAAAGCAAGAGCTTGAAGGGATAGAAAGTGACAGGTGGAAAATGAAATTAGGACAGAAATCTTCATTGCCCTGTACCATGTCCAAAGTGGGTGTGAAGTCAGAAGAGCATTTGATACCTGCTTTGTGATCTAGCAAGTGACTTTTTAAGGTGCAAGGCAGTGAAGGACTGTGCCCAAAATGTACAACTGCTGTATTTTCATGTTGTAGTCAAGACTTGCTGATCCCTTTGCAAGACCGTTCGAAGATCTTATTATTGCTAGTGAAACGAATGGGTTTAGAGCTGCTGTTTTGTCTGCGTAAATGGGCATGTTCAGGTGACAATGATTTCTAAAAGCTTCACCCTATTATTTGATGTAAGGCCAGCTGGAAGGCCTTGGCTTTCTCCATGTAATTTAGTGAAGCAGCAGGTCTTTCCGATAATTATCTTCGCTCTATTTCCATCAAATACTGCTTGAAACTTCGGCTTAGTAAAACAGACAACATGCAGCAGCAGCTGTCATCTCAGAGCCAGCAGTGCAGACCAGACGTGTGATGTTAGGGACATCTCTCTCTTCAAATGCTTTTATACTCCTGGAAAAGGTGCTTTATTTCTGTAGCTTATAAACGTGCACCAGGCACAGCTTACAGGACCAGAAGGGCTGTCTGTTTTTGAGAGAACAGGGATACTTGGACTTGCTGTCAGGTTTGGATGCTTTTAGTAAAATCTGCAGACGCTACATAACATGGATATTGCTGTTCTTACTTGTCCATAGAGTTTATTGAGGAGACCAAAACCAGAGACAATTCATCTTTCTAAACCTCACTGCCTTGATTGATCCAGACACTCAAGAGGCAGGATATCTTTGCTGTCATAAAACCCAGAAAATCTGTGCTACTTCATGTTAAAAAAAAAAAAAAGGCATTGAAATTTATGACAGCAGCTCGGGAAGCAACCGAGAAGTACTGGTCTGGGCGGCTGCCAGCCAGCACCTCAAGTGACTGATCCGACTAACAGAGTCCATCGGTTTCCCATGTATATTAGTGCTGCTAGCTCGGCTTTCACGGTCATTTTTAAGGCAATAATTGTCCTAGCAAATCAGCAATATAATTTAACTACTACTGTCTAAACTAGTTTTATGGCCATCCATTTTCTAAAGTCACCAAATTTTATTATTTACCCACAATATAATTATACCAAAACATACATATATTTAAGAAAAAGAAACACCTTTATAGAAATGTTGATAGTGCTTTGAAATCCTCTGTTGCAGACGGGGCTCTGTTAGACATTGCTAGAGGTCTCCCCGCTTGAATATTCCCCCGTTGCGCTGGGCAGAACAAACTTCACGTATCTCCCCTTCTCCCAGCCCCTCCTGATTCGCAGAAGTCTTTGCTGGATGCAGGGCAAACTGAAGATGACTTTTGCTAGGATCACAGTACATGGGACGAGCAGCGTGAGGGTGTAGGTCGGAGGCAGGTAGAATTTGTACTGATTCTCATCGAAGGCCCTCGACCATCCATACGTGAGTGTGTGCAGAGTGCTGATTACCAAGGCAATAAATCCAAGGGTGGACTAAAAGGAAGAGAAACACACTCCAGTTAGCAGAGGACCTCGTGCCTGTCTATTTTCCTATATTTTTTTACTCTATCCTGTAAGAGTACATAGGACAGAGAAAGCAATGAGTATTCCTGTGTTTCTTGGACAGAATAAAACGCGACTGGAAACATTTCCCGGGTAGTGTGCCAGACTGCATTTTTCTTTTTGTAATCAGAGGTTAAGTGTGATATTAGAAACTCGGCAGGCGTTTCCCAGAAGATGCTGCCAACTTGGCTGAGAGGTGGGCTCCTGCCTCCATGCGAAGCAGCAGCCCCCAGCCCCTGCCGAGCACGTAACCGCAGGCAGCTCACAAATGCTCCTCCCGAGCTGCAGCTGCCAGCTCTGCTGCCTGCCGGTCTGTGGCTGGCGAGAGGCTGCTGACCGGCAGGGTGAAGCATCAGCATCATGGCTCTGGACCAGCAGTTGGCACCGTCAGAAGTCAGTGAAGCTGTAGCTTCGCACAGAGCAAAGACACCTTCAGGTAACTGCTGTCATCTCCAGGAAAATGAGATTATGGAGACAGAAATGCTCTGGTCGGAGGTGAGCAACAGCCCCGAAGGGTTTCCTTCCCTGTCCTCTGACCGGCAGGGTGAAGCATCAGCATCATGGCTCTGGACCAGCAGTTGGCACCGTCAGAAGTCAGTGAAGCTGTAGCTTCGCACAGAGCAAAGACACCTTCAGGTAACTGCTGTCATCTCCAGGAAAATGAGATTATGGAGACAGAAATGCTCTGGTCGGAGGTGAGCAACAGCCCCAAAGGGTTTCCTTCCCTGTCCTAGAGATCTGTGTTGGTTCGTGAGCCAGACCATCAGGCTGTATGATGGACTAAGTCCTTGAAATGGGGAGTCAAGAGCCCTTTATCCACTTGGGGCGGCAGGAAGGACCCAGTCCCTCTTCTGCGGATAAGAACTTCCCCCATTTTCAGCTGAAATCATGGCTCCCAAGCATTTTGCCTGAATATTTCCAGCTCCCTCTGAGGGTTGCTCTCAAGAGGGGTTTTAAACTGTGGTCCCCTCACCGGTGGTTTCCTGCCACCATCAGAGGTGGTGGCTCCCGAGCTTGCCAGCTCCCGCTGCCCGCTGGCACTCGGCAGGAGCCGGGCACTCACTCCCAGAGGCATCTCAAGTATAAGCCTTTGCTGCTGTGTTTTCAAAGAAGAGCGCGGGTGTAGCATATTGCTCTGCTGCCCTACTTCGAATGCTTGGTCTAAGCCTGCAATACCAACCAAATTTCAAGATACCTAGACAGGGAAAATTTTGCTGCTGTTGTCCCTAACTTAGGGAAGGAAGCCTTTACAAGTCAAAATATCTGGCTTGGTGCAGCGAGTCAGAGATCAGCAAGAAACACGGTCTTCCTGAAGGTATGTCCAGGGAAGAGGACACAGAAGGGAAATACGGGACCGGGGCAAGACAGGAGGAAGGACTCATCATTTTCTCGTGAAAAAATAATCTCAGCTGGAAAACTACTCAATTCAAAGCATACCTTCCTATTTTTGATTGTTGGAAAACTATTTAAAAACCCAGACAATTTTTTAAAATCACAGAATCGTAGAATAGTTTGGGTTGGAAGGGACCTCTAAAGGTCATCCAGTCCAACCCCCCTGCCGTGGGCAGGGACATCTTCAACTAGATCAGGTTGCTCAGAGCCCCGTCCAACCTGACCTGGAATGTTTCCAGGGATGGGGCATCCACCACCTCTCTGGGCAACCTGGGCCAGTGCTTCACCACCCTCAGC